CCTCTTCTCCGGCCCGAGCGCCGTCGTGACCGCAATCCCGATCGCAATAATCGCCGTCGCGATGCCCATGGTCGGCCCGTACGCCTCTGCCTTCTTGCCTGTCCTGCTCTTCACAAAGTGCGACTCGGCAATGGCATTCACAATCTGCGCCGACGGCGACGAGATCATGTTGCCCAGCTGGTACGTAATGCCGGGGAACGACGAGCGGAATGCCGGCGGCGACAGCTCGTTGAGGTGGATGGGGATGACGCCCCAAGCGCCCTGCACGAAGAACTGCATGAAGAAGCCCGTCGCCGAGAGGGCGCGCTCGCCTTCTACGAGGATCCACGCAGGGATGAGGCACGCGCTGACGAGGGCGGCCGCGACGATGGCGCGCCGGCGGCCGAACCACTGCGAGGCGTAGCCGATGATGGTGCCACCGACACAGGCGCCCACCTTCATAATGATGCTGGCGCGGCTAGCGGGGGCGTTGGGCAGTTCCTTTTGCGTGAGCATGAAGGTGGTGTAACTATCCTGCGAGGTGTGGCTGTAGTCTGAAAGAGATTAGCATTCACTGCGGATCGTGACGAAGAAGAAGAACACACAGTTGAACCAGGTCATCAAGATGACGCAGTAGACACACATCTTCCACTCCTGTCGGAGCATGAGTTTCGTCTCGCGCCAAAAGGCCGACGCCGACGCCGCCTTCTTCTTGCCCTCGCGCCGCGCCTCAAGAAACTGGCGCGACTCCGGGAACAAACACCGGACGAGGCCGACGGCGATGGAGATGCCGGCCCCAACCCAAAAAACAATCTTCCAACTTTCCGCCTCGCCGCCGACACCCAGGTTCGCGCACGCCGCGCAGACATAGCCGACCGAGTATCCCTGCTGCAGGATGCCCGACATCAGCCCTCTTGCGTCGACCGGGCTGTTCTCCAGCGCCATGGCGATTGCGTTCCCGTACCTAGTCCTCGTCAGCAACCTGTTCACCCTTGTCAAAGAAGAGACTTACACGCCGCCCATAAACAGCCCAAACAGCGCTCGCACTCCCAGAAACTGGCCAAAGGTCACGCAGTAGATGGTCGCGATCTGCAGCACGCCCAGGATGATCATATTCACCACCATCGGCCACTTGCGCCCCCATCGATCGCCGGCCATGCCGAACACGGCGGCGCCCAGCGACCGCAGCAGCAGCGTCAGCGTGATGGCCGTCGAAATCTCGGTCTTGGTGCGGCCGTAGTACTCGGCTAGCTTCGTCTGCTGGATCGACAGCGAGTGAAAGTCAAAGGCGTCGGCGGTCCAGGCGGCGAAGCCGACGATGAAGAAGAGCCAGTCGCGCGCCGAGAGCTGCGCCAGCAGGCTGATGGGGTTGCGCAGAGGGGCTGGGCGCATCCATTCTGCTGTGTCGGGGGCGTTGCTGCCGTGTGGGGCGGGGACGGCGACGCGCTGGTTCCAGATGAAGAGGTCGCGCAGGGACTGCCTGGCCGTGGGGAGGATGCCTTTGGCGATGGGGGCGGCGGGTTTCCCGAGGGGTTCCATGGTGTGTTTTGGGGTTCCCGGTGTTGCGGACTACCTAGGGGTATCCGTATATAGAGAGGAAATCCGGGAAGAAGGGGGTAGGGCAGAGGGGAGAATAAAGGGAGATATAGTAACCCAAAGGGTCAGCGCGGGGGATGTCTCATTCCTTCGGGCCGAGGTGCACTACCTTGCTTATCCCAGAAGAAGTCGGCGAATCAACATGCGGTGCAACATGGCCGGCAGCTCACGGCCGCTTGCCTCGCCTTGAGATGAGGAGTCCCATGACACCGGCAGAGCGTGTCGGCTTGTCTTGGCTTCTGTCACTGAGTTCTGCGTTCGTTCATCAAGGTTGCGTTCTGCGATGGCGGAGAGATGTGGGCAACCGTGGAGCAGCCTGGGGGAAAAGAGATCGACGACGTCGACGACATCGTGACAGCCAAGAGATGGAGGGTGGTGGCTTGGCTTGGCAGATGCTTGATTGCAGAACCTTGGCCCGGCCAAGCCAGAACTGCCGGGTCTTGCACCATCAGAGCCAATCATGCCCACCATGTCGTTTCTGGGGAAGATGCCACCCGCACCAGCGCTCTGGGCAGGGGTCGTCTGTTTGGGGTGGTGGCGAAATGTGACATACTCCAGGATGCATCCTTCTTCCAACGTCGAACCGTCACCGACGATGATATTTGGCATGGGGGGAGGTTCATGTGGTTCGAGCCAAAAAGGAAAGGAAGCGGGGGAGAAGCGGGGGGGACGCGATGTCTGCCCCAGAGTTCGACCGGTCTCGCAGATCACTTCCTCGACGAATATGTGGTGGAGATGAGGGAGTGGTGAGGGAGCTGGTTGTCGGCGGCTTTCCGGGTCCATATCTCGACAACTCCATCCGGCAAGTGGTACTGTGGAATTGAGAGGTAGGTTCTTCTCACGATTGAAATGGAGAAAAGACTAGGTCTCAGTTTCCGAGTCCTAAGGCAAAGTCGTGAAACCAGAGGAGGCTGTTGTTGTGCGACAGGACATGCCTGTCTAGAAATGATCGACATTCTGCATCGTGCGCAGGCCGGTGTAGCTGGTCTGATCGCTGGGTGGATTCCTGAACGTGACAACATCCAACCCCGAGCCACCTTCCCGATGCGGTGGTGGCGGCATTGCATTTGCTGCTGGAGCACTGGAGCAGAAGGATCTCGTGGAGGATGTAAGATTTTGGTGTCAGGGAAACCCCCGCACGAGAGAGGATGTCGGGTGGGCTTGAATCGCTACCCTGGGGGGGGGGGGGCAGGGGCTTGCCGTCCATTGCCCATGATATAAAAGCTTACATCCATTATCTATGGCATCTATTCCCGGGAGGGCAGTAGCGATAAGCTTTGGCCATCTACCGACCTCTATCTCTCCCACCAACTTCCTCGAATCCAGTACCAAAAAGACGGACCATTGACCAGGACAAAAAGGAAAACAGAAACATGAAAATCCAAACGCACAATTCCATTACTGCCCTCCCAGATGGAGATAGTACTATTGCTCAAATCCCGTCAAATCAACTCCAGGAACCTTGGAGATGATTTCGGCAATCTCCCTCCACGTCTTCTTCATAAATTCTTCGTCCTCGGCAAGCTCGTGCATCCTACCTCACCAAGTCAGCTGTTGTCTCCATCCTAACGGCAAAAGGGAAGGGTAACTCACGGGTATAGCACATCGTTGTGCCAAAACTTGCCATGGCTCTCCTTCTCCAGCATCGCGGCAGTGACCAGCGATCTCCCCCCTGCCTCCGCAGTCCGACTGGTCAACGGTCTCATCAATCCCATCGCCAGCCTCTCATACCACGAGTAATTCCTCCCCAACTCCGTCTTGCACATGCCCGGACACACAGCATTCACCACCACCCTCTCCCCATCCCCCGCTGCCCTCGCCACCGCCTTCATCACCGCCAGCCCCGTCAACTTGGTCATCGCGTACCGCCTCACCCCGTCCCATCCCTTGGGGCTATTTACCGCTTGCAGCAAGCTCCCCTCAAACCACTCCCTCTTGACCAAGTCATTCGCGTTGCTGTTCACAAACACCAATCTCCCCCCGTCCCTCTTGACCAGCGGCAGCACCCCCGCCCCCATCACCGCCGTCGCCAGCACATTCACCATCACCCCCGTCTCCCACCCCTCCTTCCCAACCTCGAACTTCGGCGCCGCCACCCCAGCACACAGCACCGCCACGTCCAACCCCCCCGGCACCATCTCCTTCAGCTCCCGCACTGCCGTAACAACCGACGCAAACTCCCCCATCTCCACAACCAGCACGCGCACATCCTCCACCGCGCCGCCGCCGTCGACGATCCGGCGCCGCGTGGCCTCCCCCTTCTCCGCGCTCCGCACGCCGAGGATCAGCGTCTTGCATCCCATCTTGGCGATCTTGAGGGCGGCTTCGAACCCCAGTCCGGTGTTGGCGCCGGTGACGAGGACGGTCCTCTCGGTGAAGGCGCCCGGGCGGTAGAATGCGCTGGTCGGGTCGGCGGGGTCGAGCGGGGGGTGGGCGACGCCCCATCGGAGCTGGCCGAGGAGGGAGAGGTTGTCGGGGCGCGTGGGGAGGCCGGCGGGGGGAGGGGGGAGGCGGGGATGTAACCGCCCGTGGGGAGAGGGGGTGCCATTTTGGTGGTGGGGGCCGATCAACGAGGTGGGGGTCAGGGGGTGGACGGTGTAAGTGGCCTAACCCTGAGAGGTTCAAGTTGTGGAAAAGGTCGACAGGAGGACTCGGAGGTTGTATCGGGTGTTGCAAGGTTGGAATGTTTTGTTGTTTTGGTTCATGGACGTGATGGAGAGAAATGTGTGGCGGGCTTGGTTCACGATATATATATCTGTGGTTGAAACTGCCCCGGAGGATTTCGTCGGCCTAATTTTAGGGGACGCGACAGGAAATGTCTCCGTTCTTGGCCGCATTGGCATGGGGCCTCCAAGCGTTGCAAACGGGGCTTTGGCGATGCCAGAACTTCCCGACGGAAACAAGTACCAATTAGGGATGCCCGACCGAGCGGGGCTATTCAATTGCAAACTTACATTGGCTACGCTTACGATGGCGATGATCCATCGTCAGCCCAATGTTGTGGAGCCTCGAACATAACCCATGGACCAGGGCAACCATGGTTCTCGTGAGAAGTTAAACAAACAACTCTACTGAGTGATAAAATGCATCTAATCGAGTCTTCCCTCCAGAATCCCTTCCTTTAAACATTCTTTGTACATCTTTGTATATCCTTCTACCACTATTATTTATACGAATATACCAACAACTTAAGCCTTTCCAATCATCTCTTTACCTTGTATACTTTCTTTCCTAGACTCTGGCGACGAGCATAAGCCACGCTGCATTAAATCAAACATGTTGTGCTGGTCAAAGTCGCTGATGGGACGACTGCGATGTCTAATTCGTGTCATTCTCGACTAGCGCTACCTATGCCACTGACCTTCTCGTACCGCCGTGGCATGATCATGAAGCCATATTGCGATGTACTCACACATCAAAAACAAGCCCGGTTAGCTCAGCTGGTTAGAGCGTCGTACTAATATTGTTGCCACAATACATGGTATGCGAAGGTCATCAGTTCAATCCTGATACTGGGCAGACAACCATTGTTTTGCCCCCCACCCATCAGGGCAGCCCTTTTTTGGGTGGATGTAATGCGGGACGGCTGGACGGGAGGGCTCCACCACTGAGAAGCAAGAGACGGGCAGTGAATAAACTCAAGATAATAACTGATCGTAGCCATCAGGGTTCTGATTCTGAGTTCAGATAGGTGGCCGACGGATCAAAGTAAAGACAACGTGTGAGCCGATGCCTCATCGATCACAATCCCCTCATCCCATCTCTCGCCAAATACAGCTGTTGTGATGCAATCTTACATGTCTTGCCTGTATTCCCTGGGTTAGCACGAAGCCCTGTCGACTCGAAGTACGGAAGAACTCACCTCTACGGCAGAAGTCCCCTTTCCTCCCACATCCTGGATCGGCTTGATCCCCGGCACCTGTCCGCCCAGTCCCAAATTCAAGACTCCGTTCCGCCAGCTTGGTCGTTCTGTCCCGCAAGCAGTCCGGACCTAAGAGATGAGATCGGCCACGTTCATCGGCATCTCGTCAATCTGCGTCGAGTAGTAGACTGCATCTCGTTAGCTGCTTGTCTTCACTATAGCCAAAGAAGCACATACGCTCGATATCCCGAAGAATGCGCACATCCTCGCTCGTGACAAAGTTGATAGCGACGCCCTTGCGGCCGAAGCGGCCCGACCGGCCGATGCGGTGGATGTAGTTCTCACGGTTGCTCGGTAGATCGTAGTTGATAACCAGGCTGACCTGTTGCACGTCGATACCACGCGCCCACACGTCCGTCGAGATCAGCACGCGGCTGTTGCCCTGCCGAAAGTCCTGCATGATGCTGTCGCGCTCCTTCTGCGGCATGTCACCATGCATGCTGCTGACGGTAAAGTTGGCCTCGCGCATCTTATCCGTCAACCAGTCCACCTTTCGGCGCGTGTTGCAAAAGATGACGGCCTGCGTGATGGTCAGGGTGTCGTACAGGTCGCACAGCGTGTCGAACTTCCAGTCCTCCTTCTCGACCGCGATAAAGTACTGCTTCAGCCCCTCGAGCGTCAGCTCGTCACGCTTGACCAGAATACGGACGGGGTCCGTCATGAACTTGGTCGTCATGTCGAGCACGTCGTAGGGGAGCGTGGCTGACACCACCACCACCTGGGTGGCGGGCGGGAGGTACCGGTACACGTCGTAGATCTGCTCGCGGAACCCCTGGTTAAGGAGTTCGTCGGCCTCGTCCAGAACGAGCATCTTGATGTGGCGCGTGCGCAGGTGCCGCCGACGGATCATGTCAGCGACGCGGCCGGGGGTGCCCGACACGATGTGCTGGCCGTAGTCGAGCTTGCGGATGTCCTCGCCCACGTTGGTTCCTCCGATGCAGGCGTGGCACTGCACGTTCATGTAGTCGCCCAGGGCCATTACGACGCTCTGGATCTGGGTCGCGAGTTCGCGCGTCGGGGAGAGGACGAGGGCCTGGGTCTCGCGGATGGCTGTGTCGATGACCTGGAGCATGCTAATGGAGAAGGTGGCCGTTTTACCGGTACCGGATTGGGCCTGGGCGATGGTGTCGCGGCCCTTACAGATCTGGACGATGGCGCGCGACTGGACAGCCGAGGGAGATTCGTAGCCATAGGCGTAGATACCACGGAGGAGGCTCTCTGTTGCGTAGGGTTAGCATTCGGGATGATGTCGAATTGAACGAGACGCGCTGGGGCGGCTCACCCTTCAGGGACATCGACTCGAAAGTCGGATGCACCGTCACCTCCTTGGAGGTAGAGAACTGAATCTTCTCATCGGCCTTGCGATCGATTCCGCTTTCCGCCATGGTGATGGTTGGGTTGCTGTAGCGGTGGTGGGGGGTTGGGGCAGTTGGTGGTTGAGGTCGAGGATTGAAAGTTATCCCTGCAAAAGTTCAGAAGCTGAGTGCCGGCGGTGCACTGAAAAGTCCAGGGCACGGGCCACTTTCGCGTTCCACCAAAACTTTGCCTGCAGGGAGTCGCGTCGTCTGTCGCAAAGTGCAGCCGGAGCTTCGCCAAAATGACAATTTTCGACGACAAAACCATCAACTAAACTCGACCACCACACCCTTTGATCAGCCCCCAAAGCTGCCACAATGCTGTTAGAACAGCAGCGCTACATCCACGAGGACCTCGAGCGTCTCGAGCAGGGCGTCGCGGACCGAATGCGCGAGGAGCCCAAGATTCTCCGCGACCGCCTGAACCGAGACCACGAGGTATCCCAACTGCTCGACCAGATCCAGCAGCAGTCGGCCGAGCTTCTCCCACTATACGAGGACCGGTCCTCGGCACGGTCCAAGGAGATTCTGCAGATCAGCACGGGCGACCCCTTTGAGGAGTTCTACCGCCAGCTCAACGAAACCAAGGAGCACCACGCGCGATACCCCAACGAGCAGGCCGAAAACCCAGAGCAATGGTACCGACCCCAAAAAGGCGGTGATGACCACCCCTTCATCGTGGAGAGCATGTTCTCGGGCGAGGAGGCGTACGGTCGCTTCTTTGACCTGCACGGCTGTCACGAGACGTTTCTCAACCTCGCCGAATCCAAGCGCCTCGGATACATGCAGTATCTGGATGTCTTTGACAACTTCCAGCCTGGCCAGGGCGGTGTCAAGCGGGGGGAGAAGCTGACGGACGAGTACTTCAAGTACCTCGGCGAGGTGATGCTGTACCTGGAGGACTTTATGCGACGGACGCGCCCCCTGGAGAACCTGGACAAGGTCTTTGGGGAATGGGACACAGACTTTGAGAAGGCGTGGGAGAAGGAAGAGATTCCGGGGTGGCAGATGGACAAGACGGCCAAGGCGAATGGCCAAGGGAGGGCGCCGACCGCGCCTGACGCCGTGTGGTGCGATGCGTGCGAGAAGGAGTTCAAGAACGAAAACGTATACAAGGGCCACCTCAGCGGGCGGAAACACATCAAGGCTGCCGAGGCCCTCGAGGGCCGCGGGAGCATGACGCTGGGGCACCGACTCAAGGAGCGCGCCGTGGCCGAGAGGGAGTTTCGGATCAAGAAGCTGGCCAGCGCCATGAGCACCGAGCGCGACGACAGCAGGGTCAACGTCGAGCGAAGGCAGGGCATGACGGAGCGCGAGCGGCAACAGGAGCTGGAGAACCTGTACAACATGTCGGCCAAGCCAGCCGCCGAGGAGGACGACGACGACGAAGACGGAGGGGACGATAAGATCTACAACCCTCTGAAGCTTCCGTTGGCGTGGGACGGAAAGCCCATTCCGTTCTGGCTGTACCGGCTGCACGGCCTCGGCCAGGAATTCCCGTGCGAAATCTGCGGCAACTTTGTCTACCGCGGCCGGCGTGCATTTGACAAGCACTTCAACGAGACCAACCACATTACGAATCTCAAGAGGCTGGGCGTCACCAATACACATCTCTTCCGGGATATTACCTCGATAGAGGAGGCTGTGAGGCTGTGGGACAAGATCCAGAAGGATGAGAAGAAGCAGACGGTGGACGAAGGGTCGATTGTCCAGATGGAGGATGCCGAGGGCAACGTCATGCCGGAGAAGGTCTATCTGGACCTCCAGAAGCAGGGTCTCTTGTAGGGGTCGGGGTGAATATGTATGAGCAAGAAGGTTTCCATGTATACTATCCCAAGCGTTGACAATACCCAGATATGGCTGTTCTGAATCTCGGATGTTCCCACGAGCGGCATGCTGCGTATTTGCATATCTCGCATTGTGACATATCGTTGACCGAGTCTTGGCACACCTCGCAGCCATAAATGCACTGTGGGGTATGGCGGGACCCTCCACCTGCATGAATTCACGACGTAAACAAAGACGACATCATCTCTGGAGCCTGCGCAAACCGTCCAGCAATCGCGCGGCTGTCGTATCCCAAGCTACCAATCCGAATGGCGAAACTACCTTCCACTCTTCTTCGCCAGACCAAACCACCAACAAAGCCATGAACGAACCCTCCCCCCGATAACACCACCACCACGGCGCCAAATATGTCCATCCAAACCAAACCCATCCCCGCCCTCTACACCGTCTACATCCTCCGCTCCACCGTCCGCCACTCCTCCCTCTACATCGGCTCAACGCCCAACCCGCCCCGACGCCTCTCGCAGCACAACGGCACAGTCAAGGGCGGCGCAGCCCGCACCTCCAAGGCCTCTCTCCGCCCCTGGGAGATGGTCGGCCTAGTCTCGGGGTTCCCGAGCATGGTGGCGGCGCTCAAGTTCGAGTTTGTACTCCCTCCCCCCTCTCAACCTCTCCCAACCGAGTACTAACATACCGCGTGCACCAGATGGGCCCTAACAAACCCGCACCTCTCCCTACACATCCCCTCCTCGTCGCGGCTGACGCAGCCGACGCAGCGCAAGCGCGGCGGGGGACGACCGAGGAGACCGGTCAAGTCGATGGTGTCGATTTTGTCAAACGTGCACTTGCTGCTGAGGGTGCCGAGCTTTCAGCGGTGGCCGCTCAAGGTGCATTTCTTTGCGCCCGAGGTGTACCGGGCGTGGGAGAAGTGGTGTGAGACCGCGAGCGAGGGGGTGAGGGCGGGGTTGGAGGTTGTGACGGATTTTGGGGAGGGGGAGGGCAGCGCGAAAAAAGGGAAGGGGAAGGGCGTGGAAGAAGAGAGTGGGGAGGATGGGGAGGGGGGTGGGGGGTGGGGGATACACGCGCTGCCGGTGGATTACGAGCCGATGAAGGAGTATGTCGCCAAGGGGCAGGAGGTTTTTGTTGGGGAGACCGAGGGGGACTGTGTGGTCTGCCGGGAAGAGTTGAAGTCGGGCAAGGGGCTGCATGTACTCTGCTCGAGGGAGGGGTGCGAGGGGGTGGGACACTTGGCGTGCTGGAGTCGGCATTTGCTGCCGAGGGGGGACGATGGAATACTGCCGGTCCAGGGGCGGTGTCCCAAGTGCGGGGGGGAGGTGCTGTGGGTGGACATGATGAAGGAGTTGACGCTGAGGCTGAGGGGGAAGAAGGAAGTGGAGGATCTTATGAGGGTGAAGAGGAAGAGGGCGACCAAGGGGAAGGCTCCGGCGAAGACA